AAACACAGATCAGTAATGACAAGCCATCTGACGATATTTCTATTATATCACTTCAAAAGCAACGTTAAAAATTACCATTACAGGATAGAAATAATCATTAGACACAACGAGACCATGATGATTGAAAAATACTGCAGGACCAAAGCAATAACTGAACGTACCTACAGGAGCTACTAAACATCTGCACGATGAATTTTTCGAATGATATGGTTGATCGTCCGGATGAGTTGTTGGATTGGAATGAAATAGATGGCGAGGATGAAAACATGAAAAAAAAATAAGAAAAAATTTGAATGCGGAAGAATTGATTTGTACGCCTAAAGTTTACTGTGTAGATTACAGTGATAAAATTTTACACGGTTTGAAGTGGGAATTCAGTCGAAACGAGTTTTTTAAAGAAAGAGGCATAATTGCGCATGAACTGTACCTTTTTCATCAATTTAATATAATCATATATTGTATATTTTTTGATAACATAAATCAATAATTTGGAAATATTTTAAAAAAATTAAAAAGACATGTGCCTACAGACACCAATACTTGCAGTTTGTGATTTATAAAATTAAATAATTTAAAACCAGCGAAGTAACAGAACCGCGTCGTCAAAACTAATACTATGTCAGAGTAGTAGTGGTCGCAGCAGCAGTAATAATAGTGTCGGTTGTAATAATACTAACTGAAACATCTAAAACAGTAGTGAAAGAAACAATAGCAGTCTAAGTATTAGAGTGGTAGTATTAGTAGTGATTGAATTGAATTCGATTTTTTCATTTTTCTATTTAATTGTATATTTATTAACTAATTAATTGTTTATTTAATTGTATACTTATTAACTTTTTTTTAAATTGTAAGATAACGTAAAATTTATAGAAAAAAAATAAAGTATTTTACATTGCGGTTTTGGGAAGAATAAAACTTTGTACACTTTATTTTATGTACGGTTATTGAACGTAAAGATCCTCACTTTGCGTTATGAACGTACGCGAAAGATAAGAAGCAATCTGGTGAAGAAACACAGATCAGTAATGACAAGCCATCTGACGATATTTCTATTATATCACTTCAAAAGCAACGTTAAAAATTACCATTACAGGATAGAAATAATCATTAGACACAACGAGACCATGATGATTGAAAAATACTGCAGGACCAAAGCAATAACTGAACGTACCTACAGGAGCTACTAAACATCTGCACGATGAATTTTTCGAATGATATGGTTGATCGTCCGGATGAGTTGTTGGATTGGAATGAAATAGATGGCGAGGATGAAAACATGTAAAAAAAATAAGAAAAGATATGAATGCGGAAGAATTGATTTGTACGCCTAAAGTTTACTGTGTAGATTACAGTGATAAAATTTTTCACGGTTTGAAGTGGGAATTCAGTCGAAACGAGTTTTTTAAAGAAAGAGGCATAATTGCGCATGAACTGTACCTTTTTCATCAATTTAATATAATCATATATTGTATATTTTTTGATAACATAAATCAATAATTTGGAAATATTTTAAAAAAATTAAAAAGACATGTGCCTACAGACACCAATACTTGCAGTTTGTGATTTATAAAATTAAATAATTTAAAACCAGCGAAGTAACAGAACCGCGTCGTCAAAACTAATACTATGTCAGAGTAGTAGTGGTCGCAGCAGCAGTAATAATAGTGTCGGTTGTAATAATACTAACTGAAACATCTAAAACAGTAGTGAAAGAAACAATAGCAGTCTAAGTATTAGAGTGGTAGTATTAGTAGTGATTGAATTGAATTCGATTTTTTCATTTTTCTATTTAATTGTATATTTATTAACTAATTAATTGTTTATTTAATTGTATACTTATTAACTTTTTTTTAAATTGTAAGATAACGTAAAATTTATAGAAAAAAAATAAA